CACTAAGCTATGCTATCTTTCAGTATGAACTTAATCCAGTTAGTGTAACAACTGAGAGTCACGAACTTAGCTTCGATGAAATCTTACTTTTTGTTACTTCGTCAGGCCACAAGAGCCAAAATCAATTTGCAAGCGATCCAACGAGACTGTACGGATATAATTTGATTCCACCCTGCATACCTCATCAAGTTCATGAACCGAGTCTCGAAATCTGACACAAATTTTTGTCAGATTTAAAGCTCGAAATAATAGAGATAACAAAATCAACTGGTTGATTTTTTTGACTTTCCATTGCTCGTCGTACTTTTTGCATTGTTCTGAAATAATGTTGCCTACTGGGCAACTAGTAGCCAAGGTCGTGCCTACTGATACTACTTAAATTGTTTTTCTCTGATACTGCATCTTACCTTCCACCAAATATATCGATTATACCCGGAGTCAGGAAGGCGAACCTTGCTGCTCTATATTGAAGTGTACGAGGTCGTCATCATCATAAATAAGAAATTAATTGTCATTAGTTCAATTAAAACTTAAGTTTAATAAAAATTAAAGTCTGATGTAATTAACCTAAATACTTTAAGTGATTTCGCAACGTTCTAATTACACCCACGCTTATATGTATTATTACTTGGATAAAAATTATGAAGCTGATAAAATCAAGTGAAGTGATGTAAATATTTTTATTTAGGTAAATAACATCATACTGACGTTTTAGCAAATTTGAAATTCAGATAGCGGTAATTTTGACCAGAACTAGTAATTAAGTCAAAATTATACCATTAAAAGACTGCCCATTATTATTATAATTACATTTTATAATTTAAAATTAAAAAAAAATTTACAAGCGACTTCAATAAAGTTATTAAGAATAACTCAAAAACTATTGGTCTGACCTTGATCAAATTCATATGGGACCACACGAGAAGTACCAGCTTTCAAATAAAAAAAGAATCATCGAAATCGCTTCACCCAGTAAAAAGTTATGAGGTAACACACGTAAATAAAAAACATACAGTCGAATTGAGTACCGTCTCCTTTTTGGAAGTCGGCAGAAAACAAGAAAAGTCTTTCATATCTTATAAAATGTATAAACATATAAAAACGAGACAAAATTTACAATGGTTGTAAAATCTTACCGTTAGAATGTTAACTGTTAAGAAACTTTTTTCTTCCGTCAAATAGCAGTGCTTTCAAAAGAGTAGAGAAGGGTATGAAGAGTCAGTATAATTGCATGCTGTGAGGCACTCCACCTTATCCTCAGACGTGACAACTCATCTGTAACCTTCTTTGTTTGAGGTTGGCTGCAGGTGTCTATGGACTGCAGTGGCCACTTACCACCAGGTGGGCTGTACGTTCGTTTGTCACTTTAGCTTTATAAAAAAAAATGTTCATAATCCATTTTCGTTGCTTCAAGGTTTAATGCGTTATTTACTTTTAGTTTTTAACATACTTCAAAAAAAAAGGAGGAGGTACTCAATTCGACTGTATGTTTTTTTTTAATGTGTGTTACCTCAGAACTTTGTTCTAAGTAAACCGACTTTGATGATTCTTTCTTTATTTGAAATCTGGTGCTTCTCATGTAGTCCCATATACTTTTTGAGTTATCCTTAATAATGCGTATTTAATTGACTTCTATTAGAATGACGATGTTCTTATTTTTTTTTATATGATATGGGTGACAAACGAGCACACAGTCCACCTGATGGTGAATGGTTGCTGTGGCCCATAGACATCTACATCTATTCTCTCTCCTCGTTTCCAGTAAAAAGGGTCTCCGGTTCTCTACACTCACCATACGCAACACAGCAGCATTAAGCTGCTATTTTACGCTGATATTCCGTGCGAGCGTGGTCATACCCCGGTCGAGCCTAGACAGAACAAAAACAAGACCTAAGACAGAACAAATATAATTACGGAATTGCGCTTCAGATCTGTCCCATAGGGACCTGTCTCCAGCCCATAAATTATCTCTTTTCAAAAAACATTTTCATCGTAGCTGCGTTAAAGACGGACAAAGCAACAAACACACTTTCGCAATTATATTAGAGTGGATTAGTACTGGTTATAAGTAGCTTATGTCATTAAGTTGTTCACATTACTTAAGAGCGTTATAATTATGTAAAGTTACAAACATAGGTTTTGCATGCCTTAGGGATTTTTATGAATCAGATCATTATTGTGTAAATCATTATTGTATATTTTTTTAAGCATCATCTATACAAATAAATAAAATTGAAGTGTCTGTTTGTAATGTCAAAATTACAGCTTTTTACTAAATGCATATGAAAGTATATACGGTACTTATAACCAAAACACAATTTTTTAAATTTTTGTCTGTCTGTCTGTCTGTTTGTTCCGGTTAATCTCCGAAACGGCTGGACCGATTTCGACGGGACTTGCACTGGCAGATAGCTGATGTTATAAGGAGTAACTTAGGCTACTTATATTTTAGAAAAAGAATTAGGGTTCCGCGCTACATAATTAAAACCCTAAATTACACGCGGGTGAAGTCGCGGTGAACAGCTAGTTTTCTTATAGAATAATGTTGACGAACGTCCACAGTCTACCCGATGGTAAGAGAATGCTGTGACCCATAGACACCAACAATGTATCGTCGATAGAGAGTCAAAATATAGAAGCATTATAAACCCTAAAGACTAAATAGAATACTTCGGTACCAGTAAAAGGGGTCTCCGGTTCTCTACATTCACCATACGAAACAAAGCAGCATTAAGCTTGTATTCTGCGAGAGCGTGTGTTATTCTGTAACACCCCGGTCGAGCCGACCCATTCGTGCTACAACCATAATATAGCTATAACGTATCTTTACCACGTATGATGTTACCTCCAAACTGATGATACGGTGGTAATAGCAAAATCGTCGCAACGTAGTCCGCCCGTAATGTAACGCCTTCCTAAAACATCAGCTGTGACTGATCGATAGAACCTTAACCGCGACGTCGAGGCCGCTAGGTCGAAGCGAATTACGTAACTGCACTGAATAAGCTTTAGCATACCTAAAAAAACGCTATCTAAACGCTTCCAATATTGCTAAACATATTCATCACTAAAACCCATCACAAGTTCGTGCACAGTGTACATGTCTCGTGGGTGCAAGTGCCGATGGAGGAAATCAAACCAGGATACGGACAACAGCGTCTTCCTAATAAAAAAAATGCGTGAGTGTCGTGGAACACTCGGATGGAATGAAGTTCCTTTCGTAGTATATTATTATTGATAAATGGATTATATAATTGATTAACAAATAAATGAATTACATATGTACTAGCATCTATTAAAATGAAGCGTCATTTAAAATAAAATAATATTTCTTTCATGGCAAGATAAGAAAAAGTACGAGGGAGGTGGATATTATTCCATCTCGCTTCTTTATACCCGCTAAGGCCGTCTACACTACGTCAGAAGGGGTCGTGACGAAAAAATCTTACACTTTTTGTCGCCTAGCCCCCATCCGCCAAATTCGTACCGTCCGATAAGGAACTTCGTTCCAATAACTAAAAGTAAAAATTGCGGTTGCCACCCGCCTGCCTAGCATGGCAACTATGGTACCAATCACGCCTATGAGGTAACCTGTAGGGGAGGCCTGTATTCAGCAGTAGACTTTGATAGGCTGTAACGGTAACAAGTCGAATTCTAAACTTAAGCCTACTTCCACAAAGCTGGATCCTAAGCCACCTCCATCCATCATGATTAAAATTATTCTTTATATATTTATTTAGATATACATAACAGAATAACATCAAAACATGAACTATATGAACATGAATTATTATCATTAATTGTAAATGTTATAGTAAAGCAAAAGTAATTATTTATACAAGCTTTAATTTTATCGTTATAAGTGTTGAATGCATTACTAACAATATAGTATCTAAAACGGGTTTTTGAAATTGGTTAACGTGTTATTAAAATGTAATATAGTTCATAACAAAAATATCCGCAATGGAACGAGCATCACTGACATAGCGAAAATTATCGGTCAGCTGAAATAATAATAGTCCAGTACACATAACTCGAACTACCGCTGGGGACATAGTTTCTCGAATAGCAGCTTCGTGTTAACAAGCGCACTGTTGCGTGACCCCAACTAGATATACTGACGACCTAAAACACACACTTTGTAAATCACTAGATTTATTTGCTTTAAAGTTATTATAACTAATCCGACAATCAGCATTTAGGTGGTAGATGCTGCAGCTATTTTATGGTTGTAGCACAGAGGGTTCGGCCCGACCGGTGAAGGACCACGCTCTCACAGAACACCAGCGTAAAATAGCAGCTCAATGTTGCTGTTTCGCATGGTGAGTGTAGAGAATCCGAGACCCGTTTTTGCTGGAAACGAGGCGTTATATCTTTGTCCTCAGGAGTGACAACGTATCTAAATTTTGATTTTTAATCGAGGATGTAGGTCATCAACATGCATCCACTTAACATCAGGTGGACTGTGCGTTCTTTTGCTGCCCTTATTCTATAAAAAAAAAACTACTGCTAATAACAATCATAATAAATGAAATCATTATTATAAAAAAATTAAAACGTAAGTTTTGAGTTTTTGCATTAGATTTTCTTGTTTGAAAATTTTTGAATAGAAAATTTGGTAAAATTTCAGAAAACTAATAAGGATGATACTCTAGGCTATCTAATTTGTAAATACGAGGCGCTTCCAATGTAACATATAAATTATTCATTATCGTACTACGCGTTACAGCTCCACCTACTCCAAGCGCTTTTCCAGAGTATTCCTAAAAAGTAGTTAATATGATTTAGAGTTACGCCGCGTTAAGTATAGCGGTAACGAACCGGGTGAAAGGTCGCTGCAAAGTAATTTGTATAGAAAACGCGACCATGCATACTGAAACCTCGCGACGCTGCGGTTTTATTAAATGCAAGATGGCGGATTCTGCATTTACAAAGACAAAGCCCTCTTCAAAGACTACGAAAGTTTATAAGGTATTTAGTGTAATTAACTTTGATTGCAGGCGGTGTGAACGTAAGAAGCGAGAAGAGTAATGTGTGTGAAGAGAATGCGACAAAAGACTAGTTCTTTGTGCGGACAAAACGCGAGTGGTGATTAATGTTAAGACGGTGTGCACCAAAAATTCGACCACGACGTCGAATTATTCAGAGTGGGGGACGCTGGCGACCGTGGCCAGCGATGGTATGGACTTTGTACTGGGCAATGAGACCACCGAGGGGTGGAACGCGTCCGAGGAGAGGGCGAGTCAGGAACGTCAGGATCTGTACAACTTTTGGGCGTGGAGTATCGTCGATGGCGCGCTGATGCTGCTCATCGTTAGCGGGAACACGCTCACAATCCTCGCCGTGACACTCAGCCGCCGGCTCTCGTCGCTTGTATCCAACCAGTTCGTGCTCAATCTGGCAATATCCGACCTGATGGTGGGCCTCACTCTCCCCTACCACCTCGTTTTCTATCTGGACGACGACTTCGGCAAGGTCAAGTGGTCGTGTCTGATGAGGTTCATACTCATAATACTCGCGTGTCTCGCCTCCATTTACAACATCATAGCAATCGCGGTTGACAGGTAAGAAACTAGTCTTATTTTCAGATAATTTTTTTTTTATATAATAGGAGACAAACGAGTATGTGACTCGACTCGCCTACCGCCATCCACAAACAACTGCAACACCAGAGGGATTGCAGATACCAGCCTTTTAAAAAAGAGGTGGCTCTTTTCTTGAAGGTCTCTAAGTACGATTCGGTCCGAAAAAATCGCCAATCATCCAAATGGTATGGATGGTATCGCGAGTTTTGATTCAGATATATTAAATTCCCTTCTTACAAGTGAATCATTTGCGGAGTGGTATATAGATTATAATTTCGTCTTATTATAAGAAACAAGAGCAAAGTGGAATATGGCAACATTTCCAAAGTTCAACCTCAACTAGAGCATGTAGCTGTGCTCTCTTTTGATTATTGAAAGAGTCTTTAGAGACCGTCTGCTGGATGAACATTCCACCAAAAATAATCGGCCAAAATTAACGAATCTGTATATAAAAAAATCAATGGCTGTCTGTTAGTATCGCTAAAACTAGAAAGCGGCTGGACCGATATTGATGAATTTTTTTGTGTTTTTGAGTGCGTCCCTACATGGTTTAGATTCACAATTGGATCCAGTAAGTGGCGCTCTTGTCGAAATCCAGAAATTACTCATGCGAAGCCGGGGCGAATCGCTAGTTTTTTACAAAACTGAAGTGACTTAAAATGCACCTGATGGTAAGTGCAACCAACTGCAAACAAAGAAGGCAAGAGATTCGTTGTCACCTCTGATGACCAAGTTGGAATGCCCCAGAGCCTGTAATTATATTGGCTCTCTATTCTCTTCAGGCAGGAATACAGTAGTGCTTGCACTGCTGTTTGGCGGCAAAATAGGTACAAGGGTGGGTGACACCCAGACTCCTAGACAGAAATTGAGTCTTACCATCTGATAAATGTGAACATTAAATTTAAATAATTAATTTCCAGATACATAGCTATAGTCCATCCGCTGCACTACAGCCGGTACATGACCAAGCTGATTACGCGGCTGCTGATGAGCACCACCTGGTCCGTAGCCATGTGCATAAGCTGTATACCAATGTTCTGGAATGACTGGCGCGAAGGCATCGCTTGTGAAATGAATCTTGTATGTATAACAGTTTCCTCACGTTTTTATTTTATTTGTTAAAAGTAAGCATATAGAAAATTAAGCGATCTGCGCGGCTTCACTCACATGAAACTCGGGTAAAAGTAAAACCGAGGATATTTCAAATGCTTCCAAAATTTTTTTACGTGGTAGAGTCATGCTGCAGCTATATTATTAGTATAGCTGTAGCACGAATGGGTCGGCTCGACCGGGGAAGTACCACGCTCTCACGAATACCAGCGTAAAATAGCAGTTTAACACTACTGTGTTTCGTATTGTGAGTGTAGAGAACCGGAGACCCTTATTACTGGAAAAGAGGCATTCCATCTTAGTCCTCACGGCTGACAACACATCTGCATTTTGATTCGCAAACGAGGATAAATGTAGATGTCTATAGGCCACAGCAACCAGTCACCATCAGGTGGACTGTGTGCTCGTTTGTCACCCTATCCTATAAAAAAAAATATTGCGAACAAAAGACTTATTAACCAAAAAAAAAGTTACTCTCTATATTTATATAATAAGCCAAAATTTTATTTGTATAATATTATGAAATTAAAGTTACTTTACAATGCATTTTGTTCATTAATATCAAACTCGATCGATTTTTTTACATTTGTCAATAATATTTCGAACAGAATAAAGCATCATCTGTGTAGCTTTCTATCTTTTTTTTATATATAATAAGGATGACAAACGAGCACACAGTCCACCTGATGCTAAGTGGTTGCTGTGGCCCATAGACATCTACATCTATCCTCGATTACGAATCAAAATGCAGATGCGTCATCGAATTATCTGAATCGGATCAGTACTTCCAGATTTCTACCTTCAAAAAACTTACTTGCAAACAACTTCAATCCTTTATAGTATTAGTGTAGATGATGATGTGAGGACTGAGCCTCATTTTAAAACACCCTTCTTTATAAAGTAACGACCACTTAAAATCAATTAACCCCGGGTACACAATAGTATTAAAAATTACATGTAAGCTATCCCTAACAATTTTTCTGCTAAAGCCAGTGTCACCAACAAACTACAAGCTACCTAACAGACACGCTCACTATATATCTCTCTTTTTAATTCACCTAGGATTTTGTAGACAGAAATGCCTTCCGTGTTTCTTTGCAATAAATTCTTTCATCTTTCTGCATTTTTCAACGAAATAAGTAATTTCAATAGATTTAAATAAATCTACGGCGGTCATACCATGTGTGATCATTCCATGTTTTCATTAAAGTTGAAATAGTAGTTATCTAATATTTTAATTAGGTACTATTTTTTTAGGTTAACATGAACCATTCGCAAACTATCTAGCCTGTTATCAGCAAATCACTAAACAAACGTGATGATGCGCATTTAGTAGCGATACGGACTGATAAATCATCCAATCAATCCGGACTACTGGATCGCTACCAAATAACTGGCTCAGTTTTCTTTCTTATTAAAACCAATACAATATTAAGACTACGACGGTTTACGCGAAACTACAAAAAATAATTGTAATAATTAACTACCTACCTACTAAAATTTATAGTGTTAGCCGAAGCGGGGAAAAATAATTAAGACGATAGAAACGATTGCTTGTAAATCGAGTTATAAAAATCCGAGAATTAGATGAACAAAGTGAATTTTAAATAATTCTGTTAGTGTTCGTATAAATACGATTTTTAAATCACAATTATTGTCATTTGAGCCGCTGAACCCCCAATTTTGTCTACATGAACTTAAGAATTTTTACAAATCCGAAACATTTTGATAGTAAGTACGGCACGAAACTCCGATTAACCTTTTGTGCTACTTCTATGGCAAATTATATTTATGGCTAATATGAATATAAAATATCGGCATATTTTATACGCAAATTAGTTCATTAATTCATTAACTGTTTTGCAGCCTATCAACTCCACTCCTGCACAAATGCCTTCCCTTCTACTTCACATCTAAACGATCGTTTACATGTCGCTCTAATATTATTCTAAATTGTTTCCAGGTGGTTCCAAAGTCGTACACGACGAGCATCCTGGCCCCGATGTTCTCGTTGGTATGGATGGTAATGTTCATACTGTACTGGCGGATATGGCGGGAGGCCACGTGCCATGCGCGTCGCCTGCGCGCCAACACCTGCTGCCCCTCGGGCGCCAACGATTGGAAGAGTATTCAAGTAAGTGTTATTATATTTAATATCGCCGCTTTGTAAGAGAATCCACTGTTCCATGTTTTTTTCTTTTATAAAATAAAGGTGACAAACGAGCACATAATCCACCTGACGGTAAGTGATTGCTGTAGCCCATAAACATCTACAACTCGATTATGAATCAAAATTCAGATACGTTGTCACAGCTGTTAACTAAGATTGAATGTCATACGATCACAGCAACATTAAAACTGGTAATTTATGAGAGCTTGGTCCTTCCCCGGTTGAACCGACCAATTCATGCTACAAACATAATATAAGCAGCAGTATGGCTCTACCACGTAAAGAATTATCATACCGCTAGCGTCATTTGGCGCGTTAAAACGGAAATAAATGAACAGCTAATAATAACACTACACTGCGGTTACCAACTCAACTGCCAAGCGAGGTAATTATGACAAATATCCTCTAAGGTAAACCATAAGGGAGGCCTATGTTCATTACAACCTATCCAAAGTCCACAGCTGAACATAGGCTATAGATTGTCTCATAGGGTATCACCACATAGGATATTTGCCATATGTAGATGCCACGCATGGCGGGTGAGTTGATAACCGCCGTTTTTACTTTGGTATATCAGAATTTAATTACAGTAAAACCTGGTGAAGTGGGCACTGGATATGTGTGAAACCTCTGTTATTAATAATTACAATGAAGTCCCGACGCTTTTGCATTTTAATACCTCTGTTACTGGGAATTTTCAAACCTTGGTAACTGAGACGAGATTTCATAGATTTTTTCGATGTTTACCTCTATAGGTATAATTGGGACTTCGTAGCTCAATAACCGATATAACGAAGACAATTTATCATATAAAAATTTCCACCTCGTTATATGATAAATGGTATATTTCAACCTCTCATTATGGGACCCTCTATAAATAAGACAAATGTCATGTTAACCTGCCTATTTGGGAAACTACGTAAATGAAAAGCCTCTACAAATGATAAAAAATTCTAGGTCCCTTGAGATCCCATTTAACCAGGTTTCAGGGAATAAGACGTACGCTTTTTCATGACACTATATTATAATGGAAGATTTTGTACTTTTTATGTTACAAATGCTTTCAAAAGAAATTTCATAGATAATTAATCTTTTTAACTTTTTTATTAATAATATTGAAATATATTTTATCTACACAGCATGATGAGTGGTATGGTATAACTATTTTTTCGTGTTTGGTTATGCAATTGAATTAATATTACGTCAAATGTTGAAAATGAGGTTCATTCTACGTAATTATTTCGACAATTTATGAATGAACTAGACTATTAAGTAATAGCATTTTTAGTAATAATAATAACAAGGTGTTTATAAAACCATAATATAAATTACAGGTGGTGCTTCTGGTTCTCGGTTCCTTTTCCATATGCTGGATGCCGTTTGTGGTTGTGGCATGCGCTCAGACGTTGCCAATTATTCCCCTGCATAATCCGATAGTGTACCGGCTAACTTCATCGCTCGCCATGTCAAACTCAGGAGCGAACCCGCTGATATACGCGTGGAAGAACGCAGGCTTTAGAGCGGCTTTCTCCAAGTTACTTCGATGCAAGCGTCCAGATACGTCGGAATACAGAGGTTCACCCGCTCCAGAGAGGAAGAGAGGATCGGTGGCACTTCGAGAAGGTTCCATAACGCGATCTAGCGCACCGGCCGCGCTTTCCAGCTTCGGAGGCCGGCCGGCCAGACTACTCTGCGTAGAAAGGGAACCAGACACAGCCAGATGCCGTATCATTGAGAATGCAGGCTACGTAGACTCGGACAGGGGAGATGCGAACCCTTCCTACGCGCCTGACGGCCCAACACCTGTGCACAGGCCGGCCAATCGGCCCGCCGATATAGTGTAGTGTATTTTAAGAAACATTAAATAGACGTTCAGAGGGAAACGCAAACGCTTCTAGAAATTAAAGTTGTTAGTATATGTAGGTACCCATTTCGCATTTAGGTACCTACCAGTTGAAATCTACGCTCAAGTTAATAAAAGCTTTATTGTTGAATTATCACTGAAAGATTTTAATAAGTTTCCTGCCGTAAAGAAATTTAACATATAAAGATGTTCTCCTTCTTCATCTAAATTGAGATGTTTAAATTATATGATAACTAAGATGTTTTATGTAAATTATAGAATTTAACAGATCTCATAAATATTTTAATTAATTAGATGTGCATAGTGCACAATATTTTACTAGTTGTTGGCATATTATGAAATTATAAAATTCTTCCTGTTTCAAATATCTACATATCCGCTTCAAAAGTATCAAGCTACTAACGCCATCTATAAGCGTCCAGTAGAACATTTCCAAAAGACACAGTTGAAGGTTAAAAAGTAGCAAACGATTTCTTCAGATATTGTAGATGTCGCTGTTAATTATAAACGTAGACGTTAAATTGTACATATACGAATATAAATTACGAAAAACTATTTTAGTATGTAAACTAAAAGAAAATTATATAATAAGTAAGTAGTGTAGATATGAAAAAATTATGTATTTTGAATTGCTCGTCGTCAAATAAACGTTGAACCTATAAAAACTATGACTAAATTTCTCAAAAAAAAATGAAAAGGAGGTCCTTCCATTCTTTTTTCTTTTAAAATAATCAATCATAGGTATATTTATAAAATATAATTTATTATATGGGTTAACAAGACAATTTTACTTATTTATGTAAAAAATAAGTAAAATGAAAAGTTCTTTCACACGACATATTATTACTATAATAATTTAAAATTTTATACAACCGACTTCAATTTAAATTATTAAGAATAACTCAAAAACTATTGATCAGACCTGGATCAAATTTATATGGGACCACATTAGAAGCAATAGCTTTCAGATAAAAAAAAATCATCGAAATCGGTTCGAAATCGAAACCTTACTTAACGTAGAATTTAGTACCTCCTCCTTTTTGAAGTCGGTAGAAAAGTAGTTTATAATTAGTATTTATTATTGTTATAGTTATTATGACTTTTCTTTTGTGAACAATCCCCGCCGAGCCGGCACCAATGAAATTGTTAATTGCAGTTTTAAGTGCTGATTTACCACGTGCTCAGCGAATGAGGAAAACTTCGCGAGGAAACGAAAAGAGACCTGTGACCGGGAGTGGGACGTATTTACTTTTATTATAGTTTAAACTCTGGAATTCATAACACGCGTTCATAACGTTTCAGTAAAATTTAATGTTATGCAACACTCAGTGAATCAGTTCACGTCGTCTCGAGGATACAACAAATTACGTTTTTAAAATCGAAGTGACAAACTTAAAATCCACCTGATGTTATGTTGCTACTGCTGTCTGCACATACATGCAGCCAACTTCGAGGGAAGAATGCTAAGGCTAAAGATGCGTTGTCACCTTTGAAGACAAAGAGTGTATACTTCACAGCTTGAAATTATACTGGTTTTCTATACCCTTAGACCAGAACGCAGCAGCGCAAGTCTCACCACTATTATCTATATATAAATAAATAAAAATTAAAAATGTTGTACAACCGACTTAAATATATATTATTAATAAGGATAACTCAAAAATTATTGGTCAGACATTGGAAGGACTACATGTGAAGCACCATCTTTCAAATAATCGAATAATCGAAATCGGTTCACGTAGAACAAAGTTATGAGGTAACACACATAAAAAAGCTTACAGTCGAATTGAGTACCTCCTCCTTTTTGAAGTAGGTAGATAAAATGTTAATTGATAGGTTTTCTAAGTTTTATTTCTTAGACACTTGGCCCTTATCTAAAAAAAATTGCGATATCTTCATTTAACATACAATTATTAAAGTTATAAGAAACAACATTTTTTTATAAGCACTACGTGTTCAATGATGTGTGTTTTCTTGATATATCAAGCAACGCGGACGAAGTCGCGGGTATCAGCTAGTGTATTATATTATACCTACGAAGAAGCACTCCCGGGTAGAAAAGGAGTCCTAACCAAAATCCGTTCTTAAATATAAAACAGAATATCTGCTTATATTAACAAGCAAAGTGGAATACCGCACACTGCTTGACTATTTTATCTTTAAACTTCTCTATAGATTTACCCCAGTACGATTCTGAGTGTACAAGTTCATGTAATGTAAATATACCCACACTTTGATTTTCTATAATAGTTCTATTATATATTTGGTAATTAATTGGAAGATGTGACAATAGCCTAATGGCAGGGTTCGGACTGCAAACTCAGAATGTCATGGGTTCGAATTCGACCCCACACCTTTTGAGTTCACGATAATTAAGCTAACGTCGCTTTGTTATTAATAGCGTTACTAGTATTCTATTTAAAAGGTAAACGGAAAGCAGGTAATGGGCGCAGGTACTGCTGCTATCCGGTTCACTCAACAACAAGATCATTATTATGTACACGCTGCACTCGCAAGAATGCTATTACCACATGGTAACTTTGAACGCCACAACTAGACATGGCGATCTCAAATCGTTTTTATAAATCGATATATAGTACAGATTCGGTCCAATGAATCGATATTTTACCCTAGGAGATCGAGATTCAATTTCTTCTGTTTTGATAAGAACTAAAAAATTATTTACAATTAATTGAACTTACCCAAACGCGTAAAGAATTGACAATTGTTCACTTAATTATTAAAAACTCGCGAGATGGCTGTGTGCTGAGTTTACTTCGCCTATTGTTAATGGTTAAAGAAATTAAGTGAAAAGTTACGTGTGTAATCTGTGCTTTGTTGTATTTGTTGATATTTTAAATACAACCTCGGATAGCAAACCAAAATATTATATTTAATCGATCGATCATTTAGACTTCGATCCTTTTGTGAATCGATTCATCCGATTTCAATTCAAATCGATCTTTTTCGGAAAGAAGCGACATCCCTAGCCACAACTACAACACCTCCGACGCGAGGTTAAGATTGTTGATGTCCAAGGCACCGTTGACGATAAACTAAAGGTGTTTTCAAGGCATTTTTAAACAATGAGAACATCCACGACATTTTCCAGGGCGGCGCCACTTAAAAATGAGGTGTAATATTTGACAGATTTCACAGTGGGGAAGTTAATTTGATTGAAAATTGTAAAGGCTATACTATTAATTATATTTTATATTAATTAGATTAAAAATAAATAAACCAAACTACAATAAAAGTAGAAAAACTAAAAAAAGAGTTAAACCTTTGCAAAAAGTTAAAGAGCAAACCACTGAGGCATTGTTTCGTTTGTGTATTAACCTTTAACTACCGACCTATACGTCACACAGACGTCATAACTTTTAATTTTGAAATATTTCTAAAAACACGCCACCTTTAGCGTCGCCCTTCCCGCTACCTTCCTCCCTCCGCATCGCAAGCCATCAGTCGACGCTGCGCCCGCGGTGAATGCACACGTTTCCGTATTGAAGCTATCGACGTCTCACAGACGTAAGTACGGTGTTTATGTACTAAATTTCGTACGTCTCTTGGTCGTCACCTCGGTATTCATGTGTGGTAGCTTATAGTGTCTGATTAACGTAACATCGGATTTAAAATTATACTTTTAATTGCAGAATGCCTAAAAGGAGAAACATCACGTCTAGTGAGCGGAAAAAACCTGCAAATGATGACGGTTCAGTTCCCAAGAAGCCTCCTAAACTGCGAAAACAGAATAGGCGTTTAGAAGATAAAGAGATATGTGAAAATCTCATAAACGAGAGTGACGACAACTGTAGTGATTTTGACGACGATGTAGGCGATCCTGATTTTATTTTAGAGAGCGATCACAACACGGAATCCGAACAATCCGATGAGAATGATGTTGAGGTCGCGTATCCCCATGTTGAGGAAGTTTACCACGGAGAAATCAACCATAATCACGACAATGAAGAACAAGAAAGAGAAGTACGAGCTCATGGAAGCCAGGACATTACAGAACAGATCGAAGAGGAGACAATGATCAGAGAGGAACAACATGGCGCAGCAGAGACTAGAATTGAAAAGATCGGTGAGGAGCAGTATAGCGAAGTAGAGACGCGAAATGACCAGGGTAGTGAAGATCTTAGAACAGACCAGGAGCCAAATGAAGAATCAACAGGAGAGCTGCCGCGCTACTTTTACGGGAAGAATAGGTACAAATGGGCATCGGCGGAACCATCCCGAACAAGTCGAGTACGCGCGCACAATATTGTCAATGCACCATCTCAAGTAAGTCCGATTGAATTCGAATCTTTCACGGAATTATGGAAACTGATGTTTAGTGATTGCATGATTGAAATGATAGTTACTTACACAAACAAGAAACTAGATAGCTATAGGGCTAAGTATAAAGACAGTAGCAGATCTGAACTAGGCTCAACTAATGAGACAGAAATAAAGGCTTTAATTGGGCTATTGTTTTATACATCAGTATTCCAATCAAATCACGAAAATTCAGACTTTATTTTTGCAACAGATGGCACAGGACGGGATATTTTTCGCTGCGTTATGTCCAAAAACAGATTTCTGGTCTTGTTAAACTGTTTGCGTTTCGATGATACTCAAACAAGATCTGAACGATTAAAAGACGACAAACTTGCCGCTATTTCAGAGTTATTTCATGAGTTCATCGGTAATTGCCAGAAAAATTACACTTTGGGTCCTTACATTTGTATAGATGAAATGCTTGTAGCTTTTAGAGGGCGCTGCAAATTTAGAATATATATGCCCAACAAGCCAAATAAATATGGATTAAAAGTTCTCCTGCTGGTTGACGCCCAAAGTTTTTATATATACAATGCTTACGTATATTATGGCACAGGATCTGATGGCAATGGTCTAAGTGATGCAGAGAAACGCTTTTCAATTCCCACACAATCTGTTCTTCATCTTTGTAAAGGGATCGAGGGCTGTAACCGAAATATAACAGCAGATAACTGGTTTAGCTCGATAGAACTACTGCAAGCACTGAAAGATCGTGGATTTACTTACTTGGGCACTATGAAGAAAAACAAGAGGGAGATCCCACCAGAATTTAAACCTCATAAAGATAGAGTGGTTGGTTCTTCGTTATACGGATTTACCAAAGACAATACTATTCTGTCTTACGTGCCTAAGCCTAAGAAAGCTGTTTTACTGGTGTCGTCTATGCACCATATCAAAGAGACTGATTCTGCAACTAATAAGCCTATTATGATAATTGACTATAACAAGACAAAAGGAGGGGTGGATGAGGTGGACAAGAAATGCTCGAATTACTCGTGCTCTCGAAGAACTCGACGTTGGCCTATGACTTAGTTTTACAGGTTGATAGATATGAGAGGTGTTAATACTTATGTATTGTACAACAAGTGTACAAACAAGGGCGACATCAGTCGTGGCCGATTTTTACTCCTGCTGGCACGTGAATTAGTCCTCCCGGAAATGAAATTACGCGTCTACAATGATAGGATCCCACGAGAATTGCGGCTAAGTATCGAGCGAGTTATTGGACCCGCCGATATGCCCGAGCCTTTACCACCAAAAACTTATCAGAATCCAGATTCAGGTGTTAGAAAGACATGTGCCATCTGTCCCAGTCGGTTGAAAAGGCGAACAAAGT